AATGATACTCTTTCGTGGCTATCGGGCCGTGTTTTTAGCTTTGTTGTTTCAAAAGTTAGACGCCATGGTTTCTTAGAACACATAACACAAACTTGGAAAATTCACTTTACCAAAGTTTGGAAATCTTTTTCCTAAAAATTGGTTGTAAGTAATGCCAGAGTCACGCTCTCCTGTCTTTTGGATGCCGCTAAATCACAGTTTAGTATCATGAAACTATATTGAATTTTACACAGCTTACTTTACAGGCGAAGACTGTGAACATAACTCCTTTCCAATAGATACAAAATCTAATAGTAAACCACCCAAAAGGATGGATAATTTATATTGCTTCTTTCAACAAAAGAAGCAATAAAACTATGACTTATGAGAACTAGACTGCATTGAGAAATTAAAATAAATGAAACATTGAAAAAAACGATGACAACAGTAAATATCACCAGAAAATAGAAAATATAAGCTTTATACCTCCATAATTAAATAAATCTTATATATATATATATCAAATACTTCAGCAGGAAATTCTTAGTCCTAATGATTTGTGAAATGAGTACATGGCTACAGTGCACCTAAGATACACACATGAGCATTTTAAAAGCAGGCTGTGACTTGTTGAGATATAGAGAAATATTTTGGCCATCAAAAAGCATTAGGATTGTTGACTAAGACTTCACTCAATTGGGATCTAATGAAACTTTCTCTTGGTTCCTAATTTATCAAATTCAAATTCTTGGGTATTTATTTCAGAAGTACATTTCCTTGTTTAATGGTTCTTGCCTCTTATCAGTTCAAATATTATTACATTTGCAGTTCTTGGGATATAAATAAAATATGCTAACTTTTTTTGGGTTTGGGATAACCACTAATGGTTTTCTCTGGGCAGAATTAATTTCTTCATTCCCAAGTTGGCATGCCTCATTCCAAACAGGCTCTTCTATGGAAGAAAATAACTTTGTATTGTTTCTATGTCCTTTATAAAGTTGATTAAGGACAACTGAATTAATAGTCACATTCCAAGAATAGATATGACCATAAAGAACAGCAAAATCATTACTTTAAAATTGATTCCATTTTTAAATGTTGCAGTAATAAAAAGAAGAGATAACATTGCAAGTAATATATTACTATCCTTGTAAAATTCGTGAGAAACCAATAATGAGTAATTCTGCATTTGTCAGCTAGCGGTATGGCACGACTGAACATCTATCAAAATAAAAATGAGTCCATCTGCGTACAAAATCAACTCTCGATCGTAAGTATCGTCAGAAACTATAGAGTTCCAAATGAAGTCTCTGGGTAAGGCTCTTAAAAAAAAAAAGCATCATTTTAAGTGCATAGCTATTACAAGCTCATTTGATATTCATTTTAATTGCCATGACTATAATGAACATACTTTGTATTCCAACAGATGTCACAAGCACTAGACAGAAGTTCCAGTATAATTCAGTCTTAGTTAAAAATGAGGAAAGGAATATTCAGAATTGAATGTTACCGGGAAGGGGGGAAAAACCAGTTACAGCAACATCAGCTCCCTAAAAGAGCAAATTAAAGATGTTTATTAAGTTGTGTTCTTTCTTCCTTGGACATATACAGGACACACTGATACGGGAACGTGCTCTCTTGACCAGCCCTCTTCCTTGCCTCAGCTGTTGTACGGATTAGTTTGCCCGGGACCCAAACATTGGGAGAGTGAAAAATCCCTCGGAAGGGCAGGCTAAGTTCACTTTACAATATGGAGGGACTGGTCTATGAAAAAGATTTAAAAAGTACCACTATGCCAATTTATTTTAGCTGAAGGGGCAGATAATTATGTGTACTGTTTTATTTCAGTTGCTCAGACAAGTTCTAATATTCCCTTTAATCTTCCCCCCCACACGAAGGACTCACACCTTAAAATCTAATGCACAAGAAACCTTCAGTCCTGAGATGAAAGACGGTGTTTCTCAATGTCATTCAGAGCATCACCCAGGGATGTTTGCTGAACCCCAGCGAAGTTCCAGCCAATCAGAATTCTTGCCATCAGCGCGTCTGACAAGCTACCTAAACATTCTGATGGACACACTTGTTTAAAAACAACCGCCTGATCCGGAAATGTCACCAAAACGCCCTGCCAGCTCCCCAGCTTGTCCCAAGTTGTTCTTTGTCTGAAGGCCCTGAAAGCGTGGTTTAGGTGGCTCTCCCTCAGGTCAATGACTGCGTCCTAAACCTGAGGCTCTGAGGCCGGTACAGCCAAGATTTCTCTCCATGTATCAAATACATGGGGGTAAAAAGTAAAAATAATCCCCATCAAAACAAAAACAAAAACAGAAACAACTGCCTGGCCCTGGCCCTGGCCAGGCGGCTCAGCTGGTTGGAGCGTTGTCCCGTCCACCAAAAAGGTTTCGGGTTCGATCCCACATGCGAGACAACCGATAGATGTCTCTCCTCCCCCCTCTCTCTAATCAATAAATATATCCTCAGGCGAGGATTAAAAAATAATAAAACTAAAGACAACTGCCTGAAGGTTGGATGAGGTAACATTTAGAACGATACATTTTTCATTTCATTCCAACCAGTAAATATTTATGAAGTACCGATGCTGAGAGTGAAACTGGACACATAGGGGGTGTCCAAAAAGGCAAGAAGCATATGAGAAACTTATTGTCGAGTAAATCTATGACGTATAACAACAATCTACACATGTCCAGAGACGCGAGGCCCGAACGCCTGGAAACACAAAGGAAACTGTTTATGGCGCAGATGGACCGCTCCCTCCTGGTCTCGGGTCAGCAGCTCTTCCCCTCTAACGGCGCCTTGCGGATGAAGTTGTGTTTAGCTTATTACTAGAGACGTAAGCGACCCGCTTGTTTACCAGCAAACCTATCCCACTCCCACGATGTCCGACGGCCGCGTGTTGGAAAGGAGGCGGCCCGGGTGAGGCGCCGGGAACGGGACAGACGGTCTCGGGGAGGGCGGAGCGCGGGCCTGGGCCACAGCCCTGCGGGCAGAGCGCTGTCCTCCCTCCGGCCTCAGCTGCAGGCCGATTCTGCTGGAAGCCGCCTCACCTCGCGTGTTCGTAACCACCAGAGCGAAACCGCACAAGTCAAAGTCGACTTTGGAGTTTAACAGGAGGAGAGGAGATAAAGCCGATGGTACCAAGTGATTTTTCTGGGCAGCGACTGCCCCCACCCTCACCCTCGCCCCAGAACTGGAGCCCCGGGATGGAAATCTCGGAATAAACGTCAGTGAGCAGCCCTCACTCACGAAACTGAGCGCACACGGCTGGTGAGGTTCACGCACTGGGCCTCGCGCCCTGGAGTTTATAGTCCTTGGCTGACTTTTCTTAGTACTGGAAATGGGATCAAAAAGCAGCCTCTGGTCCAGTAATACCTGCGTCACTCGGGAACTCACCATATGAGTCCACCCAGCTGCTGTAACAGACCCCCCAGGCTTACACAGACAGTTATTTTCTCACAGGCCTGGGGCTGGAAGGCCAGGATCAAGGCTAGGCCAGTTTGGTTCCTACTGAGAGCTCCTCACATGGCAGAGAGAGAGAAAGAGCTCACTGTTCCCCTCTTTATAAGGCCACCAATCCAATCAGATCAGGAACCCAGACTTAGGGCCTCATGTTTAATTATCTCCTAGGAGCCCTATCTCTAATGCAGTCACAGTGGGGGGTAGGGCCCCAACCTACGAATTTGGGGGTGGGGCACAATCCAGTCCACAGCACGCATTACAAATGCACATTCACAAGTTGCACCTGGGAGCTAGGGAATCAGAGACTCAGGAACCAGGCCCAGAGTTTGTTCTACGCACCTGTCCAGGTTACTCTAATGCACATTAGAGCCCGAGAAGCCCTGGCTTTCAGGAGAAAGTCCCAACTCCGCAGCATAGCATCTAGTGTCCTCCAGCTTTGCTCTACTTCTCACCATGGCCGGGGGTCGCTCATGTTCTGTCTTCTAGATTTTTCTTACCCTCCTTCACCAGCCTCCAGCCTTTCCGCCTCTTTAATGAATCATCACTTCACATCTTAGACACAATCCTCTCTCCCCAAACAGCAGAGGCTCTGACTGCCTGGACCAATCATTGTCATATTTCACAGACTTTACTTGGAGTCCATAGGCTACACTTGTCTGTAATTATAGCACAAGACTTTGGACATAAAGAACACTCACGTCTTCATAACAGCGTGTGCTGGTTTGCTTATAACTCTTCTCTGTAAGCTACTCCTTACAACAGCGGCTCCAATACAGCATGATTTTGACCAATGAGGAGTCTATTGGTCTCTGACCCAACTCCACTTCCAAAGTTGCTTAGTATTAAAAAAAAATCAATCTAACATTTGCTACTTATTAAGTCCTTAAGTGCATCAAACCCTATAATAAGCACTTAGTATATCACCTCACTAAATTCTCGCAATTACCCCGAAATAAGCATTACAATCCCTGTTTATCTGAAGAGATCCTTGGCACCGAGACATGAGTTCAATTAACTCGCCCCTAAAGTCACACACCTGGGGAGAGGTGAGGCTGAGCAACTGCTTCTCCCACTCCACGCACATCCTTTATTCCCACTGTCACACCACAGGTGGGGACACGGATTTACTGCTGAGAACCCCAGGACGGGTGGCTTTTGCGGTCAAGATACTTCCAGTATATCCTTTGGAGACTATTTGCTATACCCCTAACATACACACACACCCTGAAGCATCCCTCCAAGTCAACCATTACGGGGAAAAAGTTAGTTTGGACCTCTTAAGACACACTGATACCATTCCACGACCTCAGGACAGAAAGAGCCCCAAATTCCGCCCCTACACTCTACGCCACTGGGTGCAGCAGGCCTCAGGATGCTTTCTGAGCTTCGCCCCCCGCAAACCAACCAATCGCCCCATTTGACCTTTCCGCAGCAGCCTGCACTCCACGCTGGGCTCCTGCCCACAAGCCCACCCGGGCGGTCCGGGCACCTCCAAGGCCCGGCCGAGACAGTGATCGAGGGGAGGGAGCACCCCACGCTCCGCCTACCTGGGGTGTTCAGCAGCCTGGACATCTTGCAGAAGTAGGAGACGTGCTGCTCGCAGTACTCGGCGCTGCTGGTGATGGCGCTGATCTGGTCCATGGAGGCGCTGTAGGCGAGCTGGGTCACCGAGTACTTCTCCGGGGCGTGGCCCACCACCGTCGTCTGCATCTGCAGGTCGTGAGACACGATGGTCCACACTTTGTCCTCTGTGGGGGAGACAAATGCCACCACAATGGGTCCTTAGTATGCCAACGCTCCCTCCACTGCCAGAAAATAACTGGGCTACTTTCACCTGTGTTTTCCCTGAGCTGATGTAAAAAAATTAAGTATTGTAATTCTTAAAGTGACCACTACCCTTTTCTCATACCTAAGTTCTGCTTACGTGGGCAAAGTGGAAAAGGAATTTTTGTTTTGTTTTGTTGTGGTTGTTAATCCTCACATGAGGATGTTTCAGAGAGAGAGAGAGAAATATTGATGTGAGAGCGACACATCGACTGGTTGCCGCCTGCGCCCCAACTAGGGGCAGGGAGTGAACCCACAACGGAGGTAGTGCCCTTGACCGGGAATCAAACCCGGGAACCTTCAGTGTGCTGGCTGACGCTCTAACCACCGAACAACACCACGGTCAGGGAAATAATCTTTTTTTTTTTTTTTTAAATGCAAAACAAACACAAGATACATCCTGCAAATGAAAACAAACAGCCTCAGTATCTGAGTATCTCGTGGATGCGCTGATGTCCCCAGCATGGAAAGTAAGACCCACTGCGTTCCAACTCCTCCCGCCGCCGGGGCCCATCACCCCTCTGGCAGAACAGCATTGTGCTCCTTCCTAAATTACCTCCGCCTCGGGAGCCCCTGGGCCTCTGCACATGCCATTTACTCCAATCAGAGTCTCTTACCCTCATCTTGCCAAAAACTGTTCTTTTCAACCTAACCTTTGGGTGAAATTAGACTCTGCGCTCTGGGCTATTGAAATGCTCTACACAGGAGACAACGCGGGTGAGAAATTAGCTCGCTGTCCTGGACCCCGAACCTTCCCGTGTGAAAAGGAGGGGCAGGCGTAAGAGCGACGTGGCTAACTTAGAGGCCTGTGACCTCTGGAGTGGAAGCATCGCGATGCAGCCGCGATTCGGATGCTCTGCTCAGAGCCCTCCTGCGGCACCGGGTTTTGTTCGAAGTGCAAGTCGAGGTACTAACATAGCTGAAGGCCCTCCAGGTCCGAGCCCTCCTGGCGCTCCCCACTCCTCCCGGCTCCTGGGTTCCAGCCACACTGACCTGACGCCTCCTCCAACATGCCAGGCGGGTCCTCCGGAGCCTTTACACCTGGCCCTGCCTGTCTAGGGCCCTCCCTCCACATCGTCAGGGCCCCCCCATCCCACAGCTGCCTTCCATCTCCCGGGCCGCTTGTTTTGCTCCGCAGCACTTATCGCATCTGACTTAGTGCGCACTTAAGTTATCTTTCTGTCTGCCTCCCCACGTTAGAAAGAAAGAAACCAGGGACTGTTCTCAGTGCCCTATGCCTGGGCTTCTAATGGCGATGGGCACGTACGAGGCCTTCAAACATATTAGTTGACTAGAAGAACAAATTAACAAATAATAGAATACAAATACTCGATGTAGGAACTTCTTAAAACCACTTCGGTTCCGGTTCTGGTGCTGCCGTGACGCTCCGACAGATTCCAGACAAGCCTCCTCTAAGCGATAATGTCCCTTCATCTGTAACAACACCCTCTGTATTGGAATACTTTCCAGCTTGCTCTTCGATCAATGCAAACGAATTCCATCCCGGGGCCGGCTACACTAATGTATTCTCTGTGGGATAATGATTTTTCCAGTGTTACCTTTGGCCCGAGCAGAGCTGCCTTCCTTTAGCGCCTCTAATGCAGCAACTCAGCTGCCATGTATTTTAGTAATTCTGTCCCTTTCTGACACGATGCTGACAACGAACTGACTGTCAATTATATCCAGGCCTGCATATTTACCTTCACCTAATTAAAGATCATTAATTAAATTAGGTGAATTGTATCTCTTTTCTGTTAAAATCAGCCTTTGGCACAGAATCCCTGAATCCTGAAATTCTTCCCCTTTTTTTTTAATCCTTACCGCTAACCTTGCCCTATAGCAATACTTTAACTCAGGATGGAATAGCGTTCTAACCTGACCCTTCTCTAAAGGGTAATAAACCCTTTTTAATACATACAAAATAAGGTTCATAAAAGGAAACATTGAGTAAAACAAAATGGTCATCCACTTATGTTCTCTGTTAATGGCTGCAAAGACATTAATCAATTTGTTAATATTGATGAGTTTCTGATATTTTGCTCTTAGCTTCCATTCACCTTTCAGCATCAACCCCCCTATGCACGATCTTCTCTACACAGCTGACCCTGGAACAGAATGGGGTTAGGGGTGTCCACCTCTGTGCAGTCAAAAATCTCTGTATAACTTTTGATGCTCCTCAAACTTAACTACAAATGGCCTGCTGTTGACCAGAAGCCTTACTGGTAACATAAACAGCTGATTAACACATATTTTGTATGTTATCTGGACTATATGCTGTTTTCTTACTACAAAGTAAGCTAGAGAAAAGAGAGTGTTATTAAGAAAATCATATATAAGAGAAAATGCAGTTCTAGCATTTGTTGAAAAAACTTCCACGTATAAGTGAACCAGCGCAGTTCAAACCCTTATTGTTCAAGGGTTACCTGTATTTGTTGTATAGCCCACCTGTCCATTCATTATTGAGCCCCTACTCTATGACAGGTATGGACCTAGGTGGGCAAAACATAATAAGCAAAATATTAAAGTTATATATAGTTAGCAAGTGATAAAGGCCAGGAGAAAAACTCAGGGAAGGGACGAGTAGATCATGTGTATGGGGACTGCATTTTTAAACACAGAGGAAATGTCACATTTAAATAAATAAGGTCCTTATCCAGCAAGCCATGTGACTGGGGAAAATGATTCCAGACAGTGGGAATGCAAATGCAAATATTCTAACTCTGGAATATTCCTGGTATCGCTCAGGAATTCGAGGAGGCCTGTGAGTGGAGAAGGAAAGATGGCAGGTGCTGAGGTTGGAGAAGTAATGAAGGTGGGAGGGGTGTGACCTCAAGTGACACGGAAAGCTGTGAGCACTGGGAGGTGTGGAGCAAGTTAAAATAGCATGCTTTTCGTAATTATCTGACATACTATTCTGTGCATCAATAAAACTCTACTTTAGAAAAGTTTGGGGGAATATACATATATCTTTATAAACATTTAAAACTTTTTAGTGTCGTGGCATTATAAAGAGTAATATGTAAGTTCTAATTGATGCCATAAACAATTACTATTGATGCATCTTGCAAATTATTTTTTAATGCTTGCCTATTACACATTGAAATGATTCCTTTGGAGTCATTAACACTTAAGTGACAAATGGATGTTGACAATTTCGCAAGTGCCATCATCTAGAAGAAAGAAGGTGGTTACGTTGCATAGATTTTCCTTTCCTAGTATCATAGAGGAAAAATAATCATTCCCATATTCACAGCGTGCTTATATAATATGCATTATCAGATATGTGTGTAATGCAAATAGAAACTACTGTGTATCTGAATCCTAAGTGTCTGCCACTGTTCTATTTTCATACAGAAGCAACTGACAAGTAGTGTATTTCAAGTACTCTCTTTGGATTAGTGTGCTATGAAAATGCTCTTTGTAATTGCTGAGAGCTTAGTATCTATCACATGAAATCACATATTTAAAAATGTCATACTGTGCCCTGGCCGAGTGGCTCAGTTGTTTGGAGCATCATACTTTGCACTAAAGGGTTGTGGGTTCCATCACCAGTCAGGGCGCATATGGGAGGCAACTGATCAATGTGTCTCTCTTACATCAATGTTTCTCTCTGTCTCTCTCTCCCCCTCTTCCTCTCATCTAAAACCAGTAAGGGTTAAAAAACTGTTACATTGTTTTAAATGCAGCTGATTTAATGTTTCGAATACTGGGACACATATGGGACATACTGTGAATGCATCCCTCTCCTTGGCAATAATGGGTTTCAAGATTACCCAGTTTAGTCATGTTGACATGAGTCCATGAGAAAGGCCCCTCTGCTACTTATACCAGTGACTCCATGTCCTTACCCTACCTGTAATTCTCAAGTAACTCACTTCATGAGAACACAATTCCTTGCATGGCTGGAATTATGACCAGGGACTGATAAAGCCACAAAATGACCAGGGGGAAAAAGCAAAGAATAACTCCTCACAGGATATAACTAGTTTCCAATCATGTCTATGCTGTTCTCTGGCTCCTTTTCATGTGATCCATATACAATCTGAGTATTATATTCACAGTATAGAGCAGGTCTATATACAGTGTATTTTAATATAAGGCCAATCTGAGCTGAGTCCAGTGGGAAATGCTTTATGTTCTATATATCTGCCTATGCAGTTCGTGTTTCTTGCTTTTCAAACAGTGTCACTGTGGTGTTAATGCCCAATTGGCTCATCTGAGAGCTTCTTTTCACCATTAGTTATGGTAAATTTGAAATAATCTTTAAAAAGAAGAGAATATTATATTATAAACTACCTCAATTTAAAACGGTATATAAAACTTGTTAGATGGGAATGACCAACATACAAATTCCTTAGCAGCCCTCTTATGTATTCTAGCTACTCTTCTGGGGTGATTTTGGGTGTCTCACTCTTAGACCACCACAACAGGAGCCAAGCTATAATATATGCTTCGCCTGCGATTTTCCATATTGCTGGTAAGCCTTGGCCTGCTGGAAAAAACTAGCAGCTTCAGTTTTGTTTACCCTGAAATTTCTCCTTTGCCGTATAAACTGCATTCCAGTAACTGTCCGTGGCTTTCTTTGGACATGGAAATCTTAATGGCTGTTCTCCTGACTTAACCAACTAACAATTAAACATCAACTATGAGGCAGATGTGAGCAAGGGCCTCAAGTTAAACACTAGAACATAGTAAGAACTGTTTCTTCAAAACTTAAACATTGGCAGCCTTATAGGAGCACATGTCCAACGGAAGGAGCTCGTTTTAAAGGAAGCCGTGTTCTGCTGTGAAAAACTGGAGTCCCAGGAACGCACACATTTGTCAACCATCCACCGAGTTCCCGGTCTGCTTCGGCACTGTGTCAGCTTCTGGGGACATATGGGTGAAAGGACCTAAGTTCCTGTCCTCAGCAAGCTTGGAGCCC